GACATTACATGCTCCCTGCCGCCGGCTTTATACTGCCGCCACTGCCGTAGCCGAGGGGCCGAGGGCCCGGCCCGGCCCGTCGCTCCCCAATCCCGCAGCTCGCAGCGACGACTAACCCCGACCCTCCACGTCAGCCGCGCCGCCGCCGCAGCACCCGCCCCCGCGCAAAGGCCCCGCCTCCCCGCCAGAGAATCTGCGCGGACATCGTCCGCGCCCCGTACTATTAGCCCCGCCTCCGACAACAGGTCCCGCCCCCTGCCGTGGAGTCAGATCGGACATTTCCACAGGCTGCAACAGTAGCCCCGCCCACCTCGGCTGTCTCCTGCCCCCCACTCGGTGAGCCACACCCCCGTAGCCACTGAGTCTGCGCAATATCGTTCCCCACCCCACAGCAGCAGCCGATTGACTCCTATTCATGGAGGCTGCTTGGACTCCGCCCCCACACGGAGAGCCACGCCCCCGTAGCCGCTGAGTCTGCGCAATATCGTTCCCCCATCCCGCAGCAGCAAATAACTCCTATTCATGGAGTCTACGTGGACCCCGCCCCAACGCGGAGAGCCACGCCCCCGTAGCCACTGAGTCTGCGCAATATCGTTTGTCGTGCCCCTCAGCAGCAACCTGCGGGCCCGTCTTCACAAAGTCTGCGTGGATTCCTCCCCTTCTCGGAGAGCCACGATCCAAAGCCACTGAGTCTGCGTGGGCGCCTCCTGTAAGTGAGTTCGGCAATGGCTCCTGGATTCTTTAGGCTATTACAGTAACAGCAGTCCTAGCTGAATCCCATTGAGTCCCCACCAGCCTCACTACAAATCCTAGAAGACGTTGTTGCTGTTAGGTGGCTTTCTCTGAGTAGACTGATTTGTAGTGACTCTAAGAACAGCAGATCTGAGTTTGCCCTGTCCTGTGACATCCTCATGATTTCTGATGTGCCTGAGTCCATCCTTTGAGTCACTGGGTAAATCACAAACCCTCGTCAATCACAAACCCTTGCTGAGGATCGTCTTCTATTTCACTGACCTCATGCCTTTCCCAAACAAGTCTTTTTTCCAAGAAGTGGTCTCTCCTGACAACATGTACAAAGTCTGTGATAGGATGAAGGTGCTAGAGGACTTAGGTACTATTTAATGGAAGGAACCTTGTCACATATACTTTGGAAATGTTACCAGGAAGTGCCAGACATTAATAAAAGATGCTAAGAAAGGGAGGGTCAGCCAGAGAGGAAGATCCTCAATGACATGGATTGACACGACACAGTGCAGCTTCTTGCCACTAGGCCACACCAGAGCCCCTTATCTCTGACGTTCTTGAGGCCATTACTTCAGTCACAATGTCAGTCCATCTAACTGAGGGTCTTCCTCTCTTTCGCTGACTCCCCACCTTTCCAAGGACTAGCCCCTCCTAGTCACATGTCCAGAGGATGTGAGATGAAATATTAACAGCACATTTTTTAATTTTTTTTTTTAATTTTTATTGTATTATTTTTACGTGTACCATCAAATCAGATCTGACTGGTACAGGAGGAGATTGCCCCCTCTTTTTCCAGCAGAGCATCTGGTGGATTTGAACCGCGTACCTCTGGGATTGCAGTGCAGCGTCTTGCCACTAGGCCACCAGAGCTCCCTTAACAGCACATTTTAAGATGTGTGAAGGGAAAGGCAAGATACAGTAAGGGGATGATTAGCACTTGATCACTAAAGAAAGACAAGACAGGAAAATATAAAAGGATCATGGAAGTCAGAGTTACAATAAGTAAATAACTGCCAAGCTCAAGCCCATTAATACAGTGACTGTGTTAATCCACCTCCTTGAGGTCTTCCCCTCCTCCTCTGTCTCTCCACCTTTCCTAGTCTTCTCTCAAGGATTGATCCCTCCTGACAACATATCCAAAGTATGTACAATTTCACCATCCTTTCTTGTAATAACACTCTAGTCACACCTCCTCCTCCGAGATGTATTTATTTGTTCTTTTGGCAGTCCATGGGATACTCAATACGCCTCACCAGCCCCACAACTCCAGGATGTCAGTGCTTTTTCTGTCTTCTTTATTCTTTGTCCCACTTTAAGATGCATTGGGAACAATTGAAAATACCCCCACTTGGATCAGACGCATCTTAGTCTTCCACTATGTCTCATAAGGTCACTAAAAGTTGGGATTGGTTTAACATTGAGTTTGGGTTAACAACAACCTTGCTGGTGAGCCAGCACCTTCAGCGTGCACACCCCTGAAGCCCCACAGAGGGCCACACATGCTGCTTTGCTCTTGTCCTTTTGCTATTTGTGTCCTATGTCTCACTCACACCATTATTGTTTCTCTTGTACTGTCTTTCTTTATATTTAGTGGATATTGACAACTAGGTCATTAATATGTTTAATGTTTCTTTTTTTCTTTTTTGTCAATTCTGACTCCTGGGGACCCCATATGTCGTCATAGGGTTTAGTTTTGTTGATAGTTAAACACTGCCTTTTCCCCCTATATGGTTTTCTTTTCTTTTCTTTTTT